TATAGGGCTGCGTTAGCGATTCGGCTCGCGTAGCTGACCTCTAGGGCGCCGACTGGCGCCTCCTAGCGCTGGTGTACCGAGGAACGCGCGCAACGGTGGCCCGAAACCAGCCGCACGCAACAGATTTCGTAACCGCCGCGTTCCCTATGAGCTCTTCCCCTTCATCCGACTCGAAGTTCAGGGGCCATCTAGCCACATTAGACCGGATTCGCCCCAGGACTGAGAAGCGGAATTGCACGCTGGACTTTGGACGGGCCCGTGCCGGATCCGGCCGCTGCCTGGACCCAGAGATACCGGAGCCGATGCGAAATCTGACCTCCGAGGAGGTGCACTGTACGGCAGGACGTCGCCGACCCTCCTCGCGGAGGAGGAGGAGGAGGAGCGGGCGGCTGTCAGGGCCCCCCTGGCGGGGGTTCGTCGGGTGCGAGCCGCGCTCCGCGCCGCGCCGTGCCCCCGGGAAGCTGTTTTCGTGATACCCTCTCGCGGACACAGCCGTTCTCAGGGGGCGACCTGGGCGGTGTGCGTATAGGGGGACGACCGAGGGGTCGATCCTGTACGGGTGTCCGCAGGTAGAGGCAAAGGAAGGGAAAGGGAAGGAACTCCTCCACCCGGGCGCTGCGCAGAGGGCAGCGCTCGGTGCCTGCGTTGCCAAAACCTGACCCGATGCAGTAGCGGTATATGACGGTATAACGGGGACTCGCCATCGCTCGGACGTCCATTCCCTGTGCTTTTTCGGTTTCGTGCGTGTTTTTTTCTCGCCAAATCATCAAGGATGCTCCTCGATGGTCCTCGCCGAAGGAAAAATGCACACGTCCGAGCGATGCCAAGGGGATGTGAGCGGACTTCACACACAGGCGGCGGCGGCTCCGTATCGCTGACGGGTCGCCCTGCCGCGGCCCTCCACGGGCGGGCTCCTCTTGGGGGGCCGAGGGGCCCGAAGGAGGGCAGGCCAGCCCACGCCCCGCGAAGGCGAGGCACCAGAGGGGGTCGGCCCCGCTGGGAGACCCAATCCAGATTGAGACGGAGGCTCAAGTCGGGCCCGTCCCTCTACAGGAGGAATACTCAAAAGTAGTCAAACAATGCTCTGGGGACGATTGTTTGATTATGTTTACCCTTTTAGGGAGCATTGTTTGAGTATTTTTTTATTCTTCGCCCAAAATCCCCCTGTAGGGGGACAGGCCCAACTCAAACGGAGGCCTCTTGTCGCTCACGGCGCTTGGCGCGCATGGCGGCGACGGGGGGGAGGACGGGAAGCTCACGAGTCGCGCATGCGCCGTCTGGGAATGGGCTGCCCCGGCCCTTCTCCAGCGGCGCCGGCGCGTGACATCACCAGGGTCGGGGAGGGGGGGGCGGGGCGACTCCCACCAGGGAGCATGCGTGCGAGGACTCTAAATTATGATGTGGCGCATGTATTGATTACTGATGTATGGTCGTTTCGCATCAACACATGTTGGCTCATGCAATACGTGTGCATTTCAAGTGCAGGGGTGTTGCATGTACGATATCACCTTCATGGTATTATCATTGAAGTCCGTTCGTGATGCCGTCATGTCTGATTGGCGAGAGCGTTGCTGTTGTATGTGTTGATGTTGGACACGGTTGGTACAATGTCGTGATGTCAGTAACACATGATTCCTTCATGTGTGTGATTGAGGGTAGCTCTTAGTCAAAACTATTGGTGCGCGATCGAGGTGACTGGTATTGGTACATGTACGTATATACATCCATATGCACATATACGCGATTGGCTTCTGGTATTGAAGCGACTGATTGGCGCATGTACTGCTCCACCATATCGATTGCATGCTGATCGTGTATCTTGACGGCCACCAATCTATTTACGACTGCTACGGGCGCATGTGTGTTTGCTGTGTAATTGCTGCCTGTGCTCCGTGCACCATCCTGGCGTTCGTACACATATACTAGTAAGAGCACGCTCTGTGGACGTTGGGAAAGGGCGAAGGTCGAAGCGGGCGCCGGGGGCGTCGACCCGCCACCTCCCCCTCCTCCTCCCCTCCTCCTCCTCCTCCTCCTCCTCCTCCTCCTCCTCCTCCTCCTCCTCCTCCTCCTCCTCCTCCTCCTCCTCCTCCGCCTCCGCCTCCGCCTCCGCCTCCGCCTCCTCCTCTCCTCCTCCTCCACCGCCCCCTCCTTCCCTCCCCAGGGCACCAGGTGCAGCCGACGACGGCGAGCGCGGGCGCTAGCGCCGCCGGGCAGCGACGATGACCTCCGGGCCTCTTTGTCGGATGCTGATCGAGTCCTAGTGAGATTCTGTTAGAGCTGGATCGAGACCTAATTGGGTTCAATTTGAACTCGATTCAGTCAAATTGGGATTCTACAGTCGGACTTGATTGGGCAGGACACGCGAGAGGACACAAGACCCTTCCAATACCCACATTGCCACAGGAATGTAGGAAGCATGGGTTGCGAGACACTGGACACAATGGTACCCTGGATTTGGCAGGGTCGACCTACTAATCTGGGCCTACTGCATTAAGGCTGAATCGAGCCTCAGCAAGATTCAACGATAGCCGGATCCAGCTATAGCGGGCTTCGATTATTTAGAGCTGGATCGAGCCCGGCTCGGACCTGATGAAAGCCCGATCAGGCTGAACACTGAAACCGCCACTGCGATGGCGCTCGCCTACCACACCTGCGTCGGAGGGCACCAACTATATACCTACACCGATCCTGGCCAGGCCGATCCTGGGCCCAGGATCGGTGTATCTGCATCTGCCCAAGGCAGGAGGGCGTATACCCCGATCCTGGGCCGAGGGTGATCCTGGCCGGGGTCGGCGTTGGTGTATGGCTGGTGCGCTCCTACTGCTTGACATCTCTCGCAGAGTGAAGTTTCTTTGGTGCGCTCTTCGAAGATCAGCTGCTCAGACAAGTATTAAGTCGGGCGTGTCCCCCTACAGGGGGATTTTCGACGAAAAATAAAAAAATACCCCAAGAATAGTCAAATACTGCAAAAATAGTCTGGGGACTATTTTTGGAGCATTTTTTGACCTTTTTGGTGTATGTTTGGGGTATTTTTAATTTTTCGTCCAAAAATCCCCCTGACACGCCCGACATAAGACAAGCATGCTATCTCGGACGCCCTTTGTACCACGGTGGGGGCAGGCAGGACTCCCGCCGCCGCCCCACCACAGGCCATGGGCCTGGAGAGGCCCAGCTGTGCGTCGCCGCCGTGAGAAGTCGCCGATCGGGAGGAGGGAGGACGGATCAAGCAGAGACATTTGAGCAGGGACCGACCGTCCCGACAGTCCTGGAGGCCTACCACGAAATCTTCTTGGAATCCAGAAGTGTCCTAAGAACAAAAGCAACAGTCTTATAACATAAGCCCGATGTGTTAAACCGAGACGGTCTCAGCCAGAAATGTTCTAAGAACATTTCGTGCAGACCGCACAAGGTTCTTATAACATTATTTGGCAGACCTATAGGCGAGCTAGAACGCTTCGCCACTGCTTGAGACATAAGACAATAAAAGACGCCATAGGCATAAACTTTTTGGCGCTCCGCGCGGATTCCTCCGATCTGGGCTGAGCCTCCCCCTCCCTGGCGCGCGGAGCGCGCCAGGGTCGGCGCCGCCAGGGGGGCCCAGGCGCGGACCCAAGAGATCCGCGCGAAGCGACAGAAGTTTCTGTTTCTGGCGTTTTTCTTCTTCGAAAGAGGGATCAGGCAGAGACAGTGGGGAAACCAAAAGATACCAATGCCGCTACTCCCCGGACCTCTCCTGGGGTGCGCTGCCACCAGGATTTCGAGGCGAATACAGTGGTGGCGACGAGGGCCTCCCAGGAGGCCCACAGAGGGGAAAACGAGGAAACGGTAGCGGTATGGGTACCTTATCCTCCGACGAGAGGGAGGATGGATCAAGCAGGGACTCTTGGGGGCCTCTTTTGGGCCTCTTGGGGGCCTCTTTTGGGTCGTTTGGGGGCTTCTGGGGGCTTCTGGGGGGCTTCTTGGGGCGGAAAGATCGGCTGTTCGATAATTGTTCTCCCTCTTGGCCTCTCTTGGGGCCCTCCTGGGGCGATCTTTGGCCGTCTTGGGCCCCTCTATTGGCAAGGAGGAATGAGCTCCTGGTCCCTCGCAGCTGCGGATGTCAAGCGTGAAAAGGGGGGCGGCACAGGCGCACAAGGAGGTGTGCTCCAGAGCAGCCCGGAGCCCGCCGCGGGCACGCAGTGTGGGCGGGACAGCGAGCCACAAGCGCCGACTTGGTTGAGGCAATGCCGCGGCCAGGCCGCGGCCGGATCTCAGAGAAGGAAAACGTGACCATACTGCTATCCTTCCCTCGTCTTCCCCTGTTTCGGCCTCCTGCGATGCCCTCGTCGCCACCGCTGGGTTCGCCTCGGAACTCTGGTCAGAACGCACCCCAGGAGAGCATCGGTATAGGTACATGTTGGATTCCCCAGGATCTCGGCGCGGGCGGACAACGAGAAACCAAAGAACAGCAAGGCAAGCCGCATCGCAGAACCCTACCACAGCCACGCACCCAGGGACAGTGCAGGACAAGTTCGGCCCCATCACTCTGAACGACCCGGCTAGGCCCACTAGGCCATGCGGTGGGTCCAGACTCCCCTGAGCACGTTTGGAAAACCAGGGTCCCAGGGGAATCCGGACCCCCAGGGGCGGCAGGTGGGTTGGGCGTTGGGCCCCAGTCTTTCGGGCGATCATGGCAGGAATGGTCATCGACTGGGTGGATCGACTGGCAGACCAACCGGAGCAACGCACGAGAAACCCTTGTCGGGGGCGGCCAAGAGGGGGGCGTCCAAGAGGGGGGGGTACAAATCATGGCCAGCGGCACGTGCGCGGCCCAAGGGGGGCCAGGGACGTAATGATATCGGAAGAGGCGCCATGAAACCTGGGGAAATATCATGGCCCACGCCATATGATTTCCACCCCCCCTAGTCATCACCGTCCTCTTTGCCGCCCCCGAGCTTGGCGCGCCTGCCTTTTTTGTGCACGGGGCGCAAGCATACCGCATACCGCGGAAGGTCGCTGCTTCAGTCGATGAGATCGGCAACCTCCTCCTCGGCCTGCCGTCGATGGGGGGGGGTCAACCGCGAGCAGGAGCACGAGTGGGACGAAGGGAAGGAGGAGCGGGGGGGAGGAGGAGGAGGAGGAGGAGGAGAGGAGCGGGGGGGAGGAGGGGAGGGGGGGAGGAGAGGAGGAGGAGGAGGAGGAGGAGGGAGGAGAGGAGGAGGAGGGGGGGGGGGGACGAGGAGGAGGAGGCGGCGGAGGAGGAGAAGGAGGAGGAGGAGGAGGAGGAGGAGGGAGAAGGAGGAGGAGGAGTGGGAGGGGAGGAGGAGGAGGAGGGGAGGAGGAGGAGGAGGAGGAGGAGGAGGAGGAGGAGAGCAGGAGGAGGAGGAGGACGAGGAGGAGGACGAGGAGGAGGAGGACGAGGAGGAGGAGGAGAAGGGGGGGGGTGGAGAGGGGGGGAGGAAGGGAGTCTGGACAGAAAGTCGGGCAGAAACTGGACGAGCGGCGACAGGATAATCATGAGGCAGAGGAGAAGGTACAGGAGGAGGCTGGGGTGGAGAGAACCATGACATAAGAAAGAGCCATCGTGACGCTGGACTCCAGTGGCGATCGTGCACTCCCTCGACAAACGCTGAAACAACCGATCGACCGCCTCAGACACCTCGCGCCTAGCCGCGGAGTGGGCGGCGGTGACCCCCCGACCCTCACACACACACACACTCACCCACACAAACTCACAGAAATACACACACACTCACACACAAACACACAGACACACGCAAACCCACGCACCCACACACACACCCACACAAATCCACACAAAATCACACAAACCCACACAAGCCCACACACAAACACGCAGACACCCACACACACACACACACACACACTCACAAACTCACAAACACGCCCACACACACGCACCCACACCCACACACACACAAACACACACACACACACACACACACACACGCAGAACTCACCGGCGTGTAAAGCTGCAGGGCCGACTGCTCGACTGCCTGCTCTGGACCCACTGCCTCGCAGAGGTTCCAGCGAATCATCGTGGCTCTCTCGGTACGGCAAATTCGCGTCGTGTCGACCCCGGCGTTGATTTCTGACACCGCAGGGGTCGTTCCACCGTGAACGATCGGCCGTTCCCGAAGCGCCCACATCGTTCCGCATCGAACGATTCTGGGCCGCCCGCGGCGTGCAGCGTTGAACGCCGCTGGCGGGGTCGCCGTCGGTCGACACGATAGGGGGCCACATGCGAACAGTACCCCTACCCCCCACGATTTCTGAGGGGGAGGGGTAGGGTTCGCATGTGGCCCCCTCCACGACACGAACCTGCCGTAACCAGCCCTCGCCTTGCGCTGCACAGAGCGTCGGAGGGCGGCCAGCAGCAGCGCGCCTGCATCGCAGGCGCGTCTCGTCTCAGGTAGGGCATGTCCTCCTACAGGCAGATCTTGGACGAAAAATGAAAGAAGAGTCAGAGCATACCCATGATATGTTCAAATAAACAAGAGAATCGTCCCCAGGCTATATTTAGACTACTTCTGAATATTCTTCCTGTAGAGGGACAGGCCCGACGTAAATCTGACCCGGAGACCCGAAGACGTCCGTCGAGGCTCTTGATGCGGGAACGTCACGGTTTCCCACAGCAGGACACCATCGAAGCCCGAGAGACACAGGGGCACCATGGAGGCAAGCAGGATGTTTCTTGGCATGGGCCTCCACTGTATTGTTAGGTCGGGCATGTCCCCCTACAGGAGGATTTTGGACGAAAAATCAAAAATAGTCAACAAATACATGATCCAAAATAGTCACAAAATTACTCCTGGAGGCAAGCAGGGTGCTTCTTGGCATGGGCCTCCGCTGCAGTCTCACGCCTCCTTCGCTCCAGGGAGCGCGGCTCTGCAGCTGCCCTTTCGCCCGCGGTCGGAGGCCGCGCCCATGCTCAGCTGAAGTCGGGCCTGTCCCTCCAGAGGAGGAATGTTCAACAATAGTGAAAAGAAATAGTCTGGGGACGACTTTTCGATTGTTTGAGCATCTTTTGGGCAATGTTCTGGCTTGAAAGCATGTTTCGTCCAAAATCTGCCTGTAGGGGGACACGCCCGACTTGATGCTCGGTGACGCCCGCGAGCATCTCGCGCACGTGGGGCCGCACGCGCGTCTCCCTGGAGCGCTCGACGGAGGCTGCACACCGTGCCTCGGAGTGGCCCGTTGCTGCAACTCGGGCTGGACCTGAACGTTCTTTTTCGGTTTGTGTTCGGTTTTGAAGGGGCCCTGGGACACACAAATAAATAGACACAAATAAGAGAATTCCCCCCACTTCCCCCCCACTTCCCATAGTTTCCCATATCTTCTGGGGAATCGACGATGAATTGTGTCTGTGTGTTTTTCCCCTCCTGAGTTTTGTTCATTTTGCGCTCCCTGTTTTCCCGTACCTCCCTGCCAAAACGAAAAACCAAACACAGCCGAAGTCCAGCAAAACAGCGCTTGGATCCAGCCCTGCCTCGCAATGGCCCATTGGTGCAACTCCATCGCTGGGGAAACCAGGCGATAATTCACGACACCACTGCTCCCCGGACCTCTCGCGCGGTGCGCTGACCAGAATTTCGAAGCGAATCCAGCGGTGGCGACGCGAGCCTCCCAGGAGGCCCCTGAAAAGCGAACACGCCGCTCGCGACGCCGTCCTCGCGTGTGAAGCCCAGGGGTATGGACAAAACCGCCGGCGAGCCGTGGAGCCAGCAGCACCTCGGCACATGGCACCAGCTCGCACTGGCAAAGCCGGTGCTCCGAGCCATCGAAGCACAAGACATGCTCAGACACATACAGTGGAGGCCAGTCCACAAGAACCCTCCCTCAAGAAACCCAACCCTGAGACCCCAGGACGTCCATTGATTCTTTGTGAGGGAACGTCACGCTTTCCATTGCACAAAGCTATCGAAATCCAAGAGACCCCAGGCACCCTGGAGGCAAGCAGGGTGTTTCTTGACATGGGTCTCCACTGTAAACTGCCGGAGCTCCGCAGGGGTTTCTCGGATCTGCGCTGGCCCTTCCCCCCCCCCCTGGCGCGCGCAGTGTGCCAGGGGCGGCACTAGACGCGCAGCGCGCCAGGGGCCGCGCCGGACGCGCCGCCAGGGGGTCCAGGGCCGATCCAAGACATCCTCGCCGACCTCAGGAGGCTTATGCATAGGCAGCTTTTCTCCTTCAGATAGAGACAGGCCCACGTCCTGGCCCGAGGGGGGACGATAGGGAAGGACCCATTGGGGAGGAAAACCGACCTGGCATCGGCGATGCATCGCTGATGCAGTGGACCCGTAGCAGAAGGAGGCGCGGTAAGGATATCAGGGCCTTGGGAGGCCACTCCGAAGCTCCTCGAGCGGGGCGCGGCCAACGAGAGTGGCCAAGGATGGGCCGAGGAGGCCAGGAGGAGGAGGAGGAGGAGGAGGAGGAGGGGGAGGAGGAGGAGGAGGAGGAGGAGGAGGAGGAGGAGGAGGAGGAGGAGTTCCCTTGGGAGGGATGCCCAGCCCTGTCTCGAGGCTCGACTCCGGGTCGGCGGCAGGCCCCGTCGACGGCGCGGAAGCGCCCGCTCCCCCCGGGCGGGGCGAGCTGTGGGGCCCTTTTGCCCGGCGATGCCTTGGCGACTATGGCCCCGCCCGTCCGCGCAGTTTGCCCTTCCGGGCGCACGCACACGTCACGCGGCAGCGGTCATGCAGAGAGAGAGAGAGAGGGAGAGGGAGGGGGAGAGGGAGGGAGAGAGGGAGAGAGAGGGAGAGGGAGGGAGAGAGAGACAGAGAGAGAGAGCGAGGGCCGGAAAAAGAGAGAGAGAGAGAGGAGAGACCCATCAGAAGGAGAGGGCACACAAAACACACAGGGGGGGCGGTGAAGAACTGATTCGGCGGGGTCAGAATCAAGGAGATGAAGGCAAGAAAGGAGGGACCATGCAAGGGGAAGAGGGCAAACATCTACACCGTGTGACCTGGCACCCATGGTCCCTCCGACTGCCTCCACCCTTGTTCAGACTGCTAGACTGAGGTCAGGCATGTCCTCCTCCAGGCGGATGTTGGAAGAAAGCGTCGAACTCGCGCCGAACCCATGTCGGAATAACAAGGCAAAACGCCATCGAAAGAGACAGGCAAGGCCCCCCGAAGATGCAGAGTAGGAATTAGGACGCACGATAAGAATGCAAGGGCCTTGGAAGGCCATGTCGACACTTTGCAAGCGGGGCGCGGCCAGCGATGGCGGCCAAGGATGTGCCGAAGGGGAATGATACAAGGGTAAGCTTGGAATGTTGCTCATCCTGATTACGCGGGTTGGCTCTAAGCTCAGGGGGCCTCCGAGACGCTTTCTCAGTTCTAAGCATCCTCCGAGGCCACAGGGGGGCCGCTCAGAAGGCCGCAGGGCGTCTGAGGAACCCCGCCGACCTCTGAGGTGGCCTGCCCCCGCTCGGCACGCCGCCGAACTGCTGCATGGTCATCCCCTCCTCCCGTTTGGACGCCCGAACTGGGTTCGGGAAATAATGGTACAATGCCCGACAACACATGCTGTCCAGAACCAACAGCGGCCGCTGTTGGACAGGAGGCCTTCTGCCTCAAATGGACGCGTCGACGCCGACAGCGAACCCTGTTCAGCATGAGCCAGAACTGCTGCTGGACTTTGTACCAATTTTCCCGTACGCATGTCGATCATCCCGATCCCGAAGCTGCTCATGCGTGCTCAGCACAGGGGCGCCGGCCTTTCGCTTCTTGGGCGGCGCCGCGACGGCGGGGGGGACGCGCTCCACGAAAGCGACGCTCGCGTGCGCGTTGAAGCAGACGCAGTTCATCAAGGGCTTGTCCCGTGCGGTCAGCGCCTTGATCACCTCCGCCGGAGGAGCCAGGGACAGCTCCTCGGACCCCCGCGCCCTTGGTTCGCCGTTAAATATGCCCAGGGCATTTCTTAAAGGGTTTTCAGCTCGGCGTCTAGGGACTCCTTTTTGGGGGGCGTTCGGGCCTCAACAAACAAATTAGACACGCTAAAGCGAATGGTACGGTGTTTTAGCGTTTTCAGACCAGTGTTTTAGCGTGTTCAGCCATGTTTGCGCTGTTTTTCATATATATATATATATATATATATATATATATATATATATATATCACATCGCGTTTCCTTTTAGCGTTTTCAGCCTGTCAGCCGCTAAAAAAAAACAGGGCGCTTTTAAGGCGAACCAAGCCCACGCCACCCAGCCTCGGGGCTTCTGCGCCTAGCGGGGCGTGACGTTTCGGTCGGCCAGCCTCGCGCTCTCGCACCGCGCCTCCCCCCGAACGAGGGCGCGGCGCCGGCCCCGGCCGCGGAGAGCAGGCATCCCCGCGCACCTGCGGGCGGCCTGGGCCCCTCGCGCTCCTCCCCGCCCGCCTCTCCGCCCGCCTCTCTGGGCCTGCTCCCACCCTCCCGTCCCCAGCCAGCTGCGGCGAGGGCCGGCGTCGGAGGCGGCGCCTCCCGTGCAGCGCAGTGGCGACTCCCGGTTCCAGCAGACTCTGGTGGGATGCTGGCGTATTCTGCGCTTGTGGTGTCCACGTGCGCCACTCTGCCCCCCCACCGTGATAGCTGCTGTCAAACACGAATCTCAGACCAGATTGGCGTCCTGCTCCGACCCATCCTGCTCCTGCTCTCTGGCCACGGAAGGCTTCCGTCTACAAAGTGATCACCGATCGATGATGTCTCGCTTGTTCAATGCAATGAATCCTGCCAGGGAGGAACCTCTTCACAATGCTGAGCGGAAGGTCAACCTGGCTGACTCGATCATCATCACCCACATTCTGCGCCTCCCCGTCTGAGGATGGTGCATCCCAGGACGAGACAATGGTGCCTCTGATCATCCCACAGTGATTTCCGATCGTGCCTACTTGGGCGTGGTGCGTCCCATGTCCAGATAACAGTGCATCCCAAGAACCTCTGCCCTAAAACCAAGCGCGGTGGCGGGATGGACCGCAGGCCAGTCCCCCGCCCCCTGCGGCTTGTCACAAGGGTGCACGGGGTGCTGAATACCTGTGTTTTGGTTCTCGTCTCAAGAACTCCCAGTGGGGTATCGGCCCACCCCGCCAGCCACCCGGAAAGACCCACAACGCCGCCGAAAATACGCCTCTCGTTGCCCAAATCGCTTCCAAGATGGCTACGATGGACCACCATGGCCTTTAATGGAGCTCCAAGACGGCCAAGATGGTCCTGAGATCGCTCAAGATGGCCGCAATATGTTCCTAGACGGCCCAAGATGCACCCACAATTGCTCACCGTTGGCTCAAGATGGCTGAAGACGGCCCAAAGGCCCCCCAGGGGCCCCCAAGACCGCCCAAGAGCCTCCAAGAGGTCCGCAAGGAATGCCCGAAAGAGTCTAAATCATAGCTGTTCCTGAGATGTTGGAGGCTTTGGGCTTTGGCTCCTGTTCGGCTTTCGACGGCCCAAGAGGCCTCCAAAACAGCTCGCAAGACGACCCAAGATTCCTCCAAGACGGCCCAAGAGGCCCCCTAAGACGGCCACACAACTGCCCCATAGACCTCCAAGACGGCCCTGAAGCGCCCAAAGAGGGGCCCACGACTGCCCAGAGAGGGCCCCTAGATGGCCTCCGAAGGCCAAGAGGTTCCCGAGAGGCTCCAAGAGGCCCCCCGAGAGCCCCTCAAGAGGCCCCAGAAGGCCCCCAAGAGAACACAGGAGGCCCCCAAGAGGCCCCACAGAGGGCCCCAGGAGGCTCCCAGGCAGCCCAGAGGACCCAAGAAGGCCTCGAGTCAAGAGGCTTCCTCTTCTTTCTCCTCCTCCTCCTCCTCCTCCTCCTCCTCCTCCTCCTCCTCGTCCTCCTCCCTATCCTCCATCTGCTCCTCCTCCTCCTCCTCCTCCTCCTCCTCCTCCTCCGCCTCATCCTGTCGCTTGCTCTCTCAAGTGTTTCCCCACTGGGTTCCAAAACGACTGGGGAAACATATAGATAGTCCAGTAGAGAGGTTCGGCTTCGTCCCACAGTTCGGGCCATGGCGCCGTGGCCCCACATCGTGAAATGCGTGTCCAACTGGCTCGGGTCTTCTGTCGCAAAGGGTGTAAGTGTAAAGCAGGACTGAACCTAGACGATGTTGTTCGTTTTCGCTTTGCTTTCGTGCTCCCTCCTTTTGTCTTCGAGTCCGCCTCTGCCGCAAAACGAAGTCGAAACGAAAATGGCCCACGAGATCACCAAAAACGCCGTTTATGTCCAGCCCTGGTGTAAAGACCGCCCCCGTGCAGGTGAGGCATCGAGGCGGAACGGATCTCAGACGGACGCCTCCCTCATGCTGGGCTGCTGCCCTGGCGCCGTGGCGTCCCTGCCGCAAGCATGAAGTCGGGCCTGTCCCCCTACAGGGGGATTAAAGACGAAACAAACAAAAAAACAACAAAACAAAAAAAGCATTGATGCCCCAAACTGGTCAAACAATACTCTAAAAAACTTCCCCATATTATTTCTTCCCTATGTTTGCATCTCCCCCTGTCGAGGGACAGGCCCGACTTCACGCAAGCCACTGGGCCCCCCCCGCCCCTCGCCTTCTGCCCCTCCCGCCCTCCCCCGGACAGCCGGCGGCGCGATTCCGATGGACGTGAGCCCCAAACTCCTCAGGGATACGTCACGACCAAAGTTTGGGAGCGACTCTGGCCGTGGCGCCGAGGGCCTCCCGGGAGGCCCGAAGAGGGGAACACGAGGGAAGGGTGGCATCATGGGTGCCCCTCCCTCCTCCGAGCATGAGCCCCGAACTTCTCTGCCCCTTCTCTAGAGGACCAATAAACAGCACGCGCACAAACTTTTGAAGGTCCGCGCGGATTTCTTAGGTCTGAGCTGGACCCCCTCCCTGACGCGGGGAGCGCGCCAGGGGCGGCGCCGGAGGCGCCGCCAGGGGGTCCCAACGCAGAGCCAAAACAACCCGCGCGGACCGCCAAAAGTTTGTGTATAATGCCGTAGTTGGCCCTGGATTCCCCAGGGCCAGCCCCTCATCCCATTCGGGGACCCACTGACCTGGGTCAATGCAAACCCGTGTCAGTACAGTCAGGGCGTTGACCTAAGGAACCCTAGGAACGAGGCCCCTTTTTTCCATAAGTTAACCTTCGATTTCGAGTCGAAGACATAAGGAAAGTCTGAGGCAAGCTTTGAAACACGTAAGGAACGCGGAGCCCCTCCCCAACGAAAAGGGTTCCTTCTTGAGGGCCCCGACTGTAGTGCCTTGCAGGATCCTGCAAGATCCTGCAAGGTCTTTTCGTCTGGAGTCGCTTCTTGACGGTCCGAGTGCTCGCAGCGCCGGCCGCGAGAGCCAGAGCATCGCTGGTGCTCCGGCGGGGCAGCGGCGACGTCGGCGCTGCAACGGTGGCAGCACCGTGGAGAAAATGGGACTCCACATCGAGTCGCATCGCAGATGCATCGGCAATGCTGCGCGGTCTCCGACCCCACCTGACGCGAGGCCAAGAGACCAAAAACAAACCCCTCTGGCGCCAAGGATGATACATGTCGGAGCGGCCAAAGATCGCCAGAGCCGAACCGCTGGACCTCGCGCAGAATCGGAGCAGGCAGCAGAAACTCACACGCCGTCCAGGGGTCACGACACCGATGGGGAAGAATATTGCATCTCTCGCCGCCGGGAGCGCCGCCCCCCCCCCCTGTCGGGAGCGGCAAAGAGGGGGGCGTCCAAGAGGGGGGGGTGCAAATCATGGCCGGCGGCATGTGCGCGGCCCAGGGGGGGGCCGGGGACGTCTGGAAGTAAAAAGAGGCGCCATGAAATCTGGGGAAAATCATGGCCCACGCCACGATATCCATCCCCCCCCTAGTCGTCACCCCCTCTTTTCCACCCCCGACCCTGAGAGCAAGGACGGGGGATGCAGGTCCTCCCAGGACAAGTCCGGGGCCAGCGCTGCTCGGACCCCCTGGGGAAGGCCCTGGGCGACTGCCTGCCAGACCACCCCCAACCCCACCCGAAGACCCGACGTTGACCCGAATTTCGGGTTGGGGGGGGGCGGCGGTTATGTCGGGCCTGTCCCCCATACAGGGGGATTTTCGACGAAAAATAAAAAATACCCCAAAAATGCTGCAAAAAGGCCAAAAAATACTCAGGAAATAGCCCCTGGATTATTTTTGGACTATTTTTTGATGATGTTTGGGACATTTGTCTTATTTGTCGTCGAAAATCCCCCTGTAGGGGGACAGGCCCGACTTAAGGGTACGGGTTCCATGTGTTTATTCAATGTTCCCCGAACACCCCCCACTGGAAATGGAGGGCGAATTGAAGCCTTCGGGTTGGGTTGGGGTGGTTTGGTAGGTGGTGGCTGCAAAGTCTGGGCTCCCCGCTGTGGAACAGCACGAATTGCATAGACATACATTCTCGGAGGTCCGCGCGGATTTCTCGGATCAGCGCCAGACCCCCCTTCCCTGGCGCGCGGCGCCGCCCAGTGGGCCCAGCGCCGATCCAAGAACTCCGCACGGACCTCAGATGATATATGCTTCTGCAGTGTTTTGTTCTTCGATCCTCGTCTCACCCCAATGGTCTAGCGAATAGCCAAGACTTCTGGACGCCCGCAAGAGGTACTGCAACTGTGGGCACAGTGCCCAACAACAAGAGTTGTCCAAAACCGACAGCAACCGCTGTCGGGCAGGCGCCTTCCTGCCTCAAGTGGGCAACCTCCGCGGGGACGCCGACAGCGAGCCTTGCCCAACATGGGCAGGAACCGCTGCTGGCCTTCGCACCCATCCGTTCCGTACCCAGAGGCATCCAATGTGGGGTCCGAGTAGATGGGGTCGCAGGATCGCGCCGCATCGCCGATGCATCGCCGATGCGGCTCGATGTGGAGCCCCACTATCTCCACGCCGACGTCGCCGATGCATCGGCGATGCGGCGCACTCCTCCGACCCCATCTAACCCTGAAAGGTCTTTGGACCACCTCTGCCCACTAGGGGGTACTTTTTGTCGCGGAACCCGCCGCGCAACAACGAGGAGAAGGAGGAAGAAGGAGGAGAATGAGAATGGAGGAAGAGGGAGGAGGAGGAGGAGGAGGAGGAGGAGGAGGAGCAGGAGCTGGAGGGGGAGGAACATGTTTTAGGACCATTCCTATTCACCGCCGACGGAACAAGGGGCGGGAACAACACTAAAGTCCTTTGGCATGCTGCATGCTCGGGGGAACTTGGCTGCCCAATCGCGGCCATATCCGCGTCGAATCCGTCTCGAATCCATGTCGGCCTCGTCGGATCCGTGTCGAATCAGTGTCAAGTCCACGCGAAGTCCGCGTCGCGTCCGCATCGAGCCCGCGTCGGGCACAAGAACAGACAACAATTTCAGGGACATGCGAGGTCCCGCCAAGATGCAGCTCGACCTTTGGCGGCGACTCGCACCCCACTTGGGAAGCACAGACGTACCCACCTCGGCCCCGCCGGGAGGAGGTAGGAGGAGGAGGAGGAGGAGGAGGAGGAGGAGGAGGAGGAGGAGGAGGAGGACGAGGAGAATGAGGAGGCGGAGGAGGAGGAGAAGGGAGGAGGAGGCGGAGGAGGCGGAGGAGGAGGAGGTTTTAGGACCAGTGCTATTCACCGCCGAGAGAAACAAGGGGGGGGAACCAAAACCACAGACCATTGGCGGCTACTCGCACCCCACTTGGGAGGCACAGACGTAGCCACCTCTAACCAGCCTCGAACTGATCCCTGTCCCTGAGATGGGCAAGCCAAACGCGATGACATTCCAGGGATAGGCCCTCAGAAACTAAGGGAACCCTTGAGATCGGTATCAAGGTCAGGTGATGCCAAACATAGGGAGGGATAGGGTTAGGCCGGGCATGTCCCCCTGGAGGGTGATTTTGGACGAAACATAGAAAAAAACTAACCTTGCATCATCAACACTCAAAACTGGTTTTCAATAAAATCGCCCCCATACTATGTGTGACTATGTTTGAATCTTCCCCCTGTCGAGGGACACGCCCGACGTAAAGGCTAAGGACATGTTTCGACCTCGCAGACCTCGGCCCCGCCGGCCCGTGGCGACGGGCGACCTCCTGAGCCAGCAGGCCGCCAAGGACGGAGGCCACGTGGATCAGCGGCTCCACGAAGAGGTGGCCGTAGACCTCCGCGCCGGCGCCCGGCGGCCGTGGGCGTCGGCGGCGCCGCGAGCTCGGCGGCGCGCCCAGACGGGGGGGGGGCGGAGGGCTCCCGACGGGCGCGCGCTTCCCAAGGCACGTACGGCGTCTGGGGCGATCGCCAGAGACCGGGCAGCCAGCAAGGCGCGGCCCGCCCAGAAGAGACGTTCCGGGGGGCCAGCCCAGCAGCCGACGTGCCTTGAAGCACGCGCCCGTCGCGGTTGAAGTTCGGCGGCGTGCCCAGAGAGGCTCCGCAGAGTGGGGGAACGAAGACTGACACAAACATAAATTCTCGGAGGTCCGCGCGGATTCCTCGGATCGGCGCTGGACCCCCCTGGCGGCGCCTCCGGCGCCGCCCCTGTCGCGCTCCGCGCGCCAGGGAGTGGGGGGCCAGCGCCGATCCTAGAAATCCGCGCGGACCTCCGAGTTTTCATCTTTATGTCGTTCGTCGTTCCCCTATCCGCCCGACGGCCATCGGCATCGACGGAGCCGCGAGATCGGCGGCGCGCCAGAGGGCGCTGGCCTCACGTCCATGGACGAGGCCCGCGACTTCTGAGAGGCAGGGGTGCTTCTCAGTAGCCCCCCCCTCCTCCCACCCCTCCTCGCTTGAGCAGGGACCGACCGTCCCGGCATTCGTATAGTCCTACCACGAGATGTTCTTAGAGCCCCAAAGTGTTCTAAGAACAGCTACAATGTTCTTATAACCTACGCCCGATGTGTTGAAACAAGACAACCCCAGCCAGAAATGTTCTAAGAGAACATCTCGTGGGAACCACAAAAGGTTGTTTCGTAGAACTGTAGGCACGCCAGGACGCTTCGCCACTGCTCGACTCGCGGGGCTGAGTGATGGAGGAAGAGCCGCTCGAGGCATCCCCACAATCTGGCCGCGGAGGGGCCGCCAACGGCCCCCCCCCTTCGTTGGATGCTCGTTCTGGGGACCTTCCTGGAGCCACTCGCTCCACTCGTGCGTTGAAGCTGCGTCGAACGTCAGTCGAGTTGGGTCGACCCTGAGTCGAACCTGAGTCGAACCTGAGTCGAACTTGAGTCGAACTTGAGTCGAACTTGAGTCGAACTGGGGTCGAACAGATCCGTTAGGTGGGCTCCAGGAAGGTCCCCGAAACGAGCATCGAACCTCCGGGTCAGCATCGGCAGACCCAATGATCGAGGAAGAACGAACTCCACAAAGGCAAACCTCGAGGGGCCGGGGATGTCGGGGGCTCCGAACTCCTGCCCGGGCGTTGGAAGCACTCTCCAAGAGCCCCTACAGACAGTCTTACCAAAGAACTGGGACTTCGCGCAGCGACACGCCAAGAGAATGTCTCCGGCAGTACGCCCGAGGGGGCCCAGGAAGCCCTCAAGGCGGCGCAGCCCTCGGGTCCCAACAAGACACCTCACTGAACCCATCGCCACTGTTGGGACCTCCTGGAGGCTTCTCGACTAACACGGCTGGATTCCCGTCGAACTCCTGGCCGTCACGCAGCACTGGAGAGATCGGGGGGCGACTGAGACCCCCAGACTGCCAGAATCCCAACGTCCCGAAACGAACAGCACAAAACCAGGCGGCAGACTGCGCATCCCGAGTCGTCTGCGTCTGGGCCCCGTCAAATGGGATGACTCGGGGTGGAGAGCCGGCCTCGGGGAGGGGGTCGCGAGGAGGGCCGAGGCCTCGAACAGAGTCGAGACGCAGGGTGGCTCGGCAGTGCTCTCCGGGCCCTCCGATGCCCAAACTTCTGCTGCTACGTGGCCCCTGGACCGCGCGATGCCTTCCTTGGGCGGAGCCGTTCTCGCTTCGAAGGGGAGGATGTCTCCGGAGGACCCAGGGGATGGCGAGTGCTCCAGGAGCCAGAGGAAAAGATCTCGATCCTCCTCGGTATTCTCCCTTTGTGGTGAAAGGATTCCACTCGCTCCTTTCCTTCACAGAAAGCTGCCCGAATGTCCAGCGGAATTGTTTGTGAAGCCTTGTTCTCGAGAGATCTCGAACCCGTCCATGGGGCAATGTTTCATCCACACTCGTTCGCCTCAGGGGTGGGAACCTTGTCGAACTAAACGAAGCCACTGGGATCGCACAGGACGTTAGAGGCTTGGACTCTGGGGGTCTTGGAGCTCTTTTGCGATCCCTGGAGGTCTTCAAAAAGGTCGAAACGCATAGAGATGTTCAATCGCCCTCCTCGATTCTGGATGAATACAAGGAGGTCCGATGACATCCGTTACCTCGAAGCTGGAGGCCGCCCAAATGGGGCCAGAGCAGATGGGCCAACAGGATCGCACCGCATCGGCGACGCCTGGACGGAGGCAATCAGGCTCGTGATCGCGCTTCATCGCCGACACATCTGATATGAGGCGCGACCATCAAGCTACTTCGACGTCATCCTCCCGCACCAGCTTCTCGTCTCGATCGTGGTCGTCGTGTCGGACTGTCCTGCTGGCGCCACCTGCAATGAGGGACCGATGATATACCAACACTGTTTTAGGTAGGGGAGGCAGCAGGAGGAGGAGGAGAAGGAGGAAGAGGAGACAGAGGAGGAGGGAGAGAACGAGGGAGAGGAGGCGGAGGAGGAGGGAGAGGAGGAGGGAGAGGAGGCGGAGGCGGAGGAGGAGGAGGAGGGGGTGGGGGGAGGAGAGGAGGAGGACTCCCTCGAAGTGGTAGCGGCAGCAGGCCTGGCAGGAGGTGACCCCTCTCCTCTCCTCCTCCTCCTCTCTCCTCCTCCTCCTCCTCCTCCTCCTCCTCCCCTCCTCCTCCTCATCATCATCATCATCATCATCCTTCCAAAATCGCTCCGGACGGCCCCTGGAAGGAAACGCGCTCAACGGGAGCATGAGGTCGGGCATGTCTCCCCACAGGCGGATGCTGGCTGGAAGACTAGCAAGTGCCCCCCCCCCAACAAAAATTCCAAACACAATAACAAAAAAACGTCATCAAACGACTTGACCTTCCGACTATGTTTGAATATATATATGTATGTATATGTATATGTATAGGTATATGTGTATATCAATAATGATAATAATGATAATATTACTAACAAAAGTAATCATACTAATAATAATAAGAATAAGAGAAAGAAAAATAAAAAGAATAATGATAAAATATAAATAAAAATAAAGATAGTGGTAATAATAAAAGTAATAATAAGAATAAGAAATATTATAATAATGGTCGGAAATAATATTATATCTATATATGTTCCACGTGTAGACAGACAGGCCCGACCTGACGGGGGCATCCAGCCGGGCCGGGCCCCGGCCCCCCTCCGCACCACCCTGGGACCGAAGCCCTCCCCCTCCCGGAGCCTCTGGGCAAGAGGCCCCCCCGAGCGGCGCGCGGCGGGGCTGGGGCGAGGGGCGGGGGCCCGCCTCCGGGAGCCCAGGGCCGCCGCCGGGGACCGCCAGGGGGCACTTCGCGGCCGCGGCGCAGAACTCCTGGGACTTCTGCTGAGCCACATGCGACATATACATACACATACCTATACTTATACATGATACATACACAAACGTATATATATATATATAGCATGTACAAATATATATATCTATATATGCATATGCATACAAGTCTACATCTACAGCTACAAAGCACTGCACATGTATGTGTCTATACATGCACACACATACACATACACACATATACATAGATGTAGGCATCGATAGATACACATGTATATACATATGTACTTATATGCACTACATGGATGACGAGCCTAACGGGGGGGGGGGGGGCGAGAGAGCTTCAAAATGGAAGGGTTCGGGGGGGGGGCACGGCAACGCGCGCGAGGGATAAGGCACACACATGTTGAGGTGGGTTCGCGGGCATGGGAGGTCATACGAGGCGGGGGCCGTTGCTCTCTGTAGCTCCGCGCCCCATGCTGGAACTCCGTACCGTCTGGGGCAGAGAGACAGGAGGCGCGAGAGCTGAGGGGGGGGGGGGGGGGGGTGGGGGGGGGGACGCCAACACGTTTGAGCCGTGAGCGCGGGCGAAGGTGATTTAGGGGGGGGTCAACACAGCGACAACAGAACGCGACAGCACAACGACGCACCAGGACGGCGCAGGCAGCAGAGCGGGCCCTGGGGTCGATCCGAGCGGACCGACCGCGGGCATGTCTCTCCGCCGCGGGGCGCCCGCGGGGCCTGGGCCCCCGCCCAGACACGCGAGAGAGAAGGAAGGAAGCACGCGCCCTGGGAGGCAGTCGACGGGCCGCCCCCCCTCCTCGCACTTCGGCTCCCCCCCCCCCCCGCCATGACCAGGTCGGAGAGGGGCTCGCCAGGAGCGCGCTGTCCGTACTGGCGGGCGTTGCCGCGGCTCGCTTCTCGTGAGCGGGCCCTCCGCGAGACTCCTCGAGCCTGCTCGTCCGTCACTCTTACCTCCGCCCAGGCCTTTGTGACTGGCCCAGGCATCCTGAAACAAGGGAGTTCTGCATAGTGTGTGCCTCTTCCTTGGCCCTTGAACCTTTGGCTCAAGGCTGCCCTCTGCTGGCTGCATCCTGCTGGTCGAGGCATCGTTGCTCGCTGATCGAGAGATGCCCAGCATGCTGCAAGATTGCGTACAGACACCGGGGACTGCTGACCGTGAAAAGGCAGGGATGAGACGAGGCAGGGCAGCTCATCAGAAAGCTGAGGCGACGGACGACCTGACTGACTGACTGACGAACCATACACCAAGCGGTGCGTGGGCATGAACGCTGGCCAAAAGAAACGCATGGGCCTTGGCTACACGCTGGGCCACTGCTGTCGGTTCCCGGTGAGAAGCTGTACTTGTGCGCTGGGAGCCAAGGGCACCACAAGCCGAGGCGACGGACGACCACATGGCCGAAAGGGCCTCGCCGACCCGAAGCAACCCATCCCCTGGGTGTCGCAGGCAGCCCGCCCGGCGCGCCCCGGGGCGGCCCGCCGAGGACGAGGAACGGAATGCGCCTCGGGCGCAGCCTCCTCTCGGGCGGAGCGAAAGGGATCGCAAGAGGGGGGGTTTGAGAAGCAGCTCACGCAGCTGACTTTCCCGGCGCCTCCCGGCGCCCGAGGCGGCCATGCATCGAGGAATGGGACCCTCGGTGGGGCCGAAACCAGCTGCATGCAGCAGATTTCGTGACCCCCCCTTTCCCTATCCCCCCCTGTCGTTCGGCCCGGTCCTCCAGCGTTCGGCGGGGCAACGCTGAGGGGCGCCAGCTCGGGGGCGGGGGGGGGGAACGTCGAGCTCGAATCCGCCGTACATCGCCGACGAGCAGGCGACGGGCCCCCGACAGCAGGTCCGCACGGTCCTGGGCGGGGTGGGCCGTCAGGCCGCTGTCGGCGACGGACGTGCGATCTTGGGGGTCGGTGCGTCGCCTGCTGAGAGCATCCAGCCTGAGGTTAGGTCGGGCATGTCCCCCGACATGCGGAATTTCGATGAAACACTACAAATTGTCCACAAACATCGAGCCATAGTAAACAAGAATGCGAACAAGATCGTCTCCCGACTATTTTTGACTCTGTTTGAACATGCCTCCTGCAGAGGGAAAGGGCCGACTTAAAATCCCAAGGTCGCCCCTCGACATCGCTCGAGCGTCCCTGCCCCGCGCATTGTTTCGATGCCACGCGTGTTTTTTTGTTCGCTCGCAGGATGCTCCACCGTGCTCCCCGACGGCACCCCCCCCGCCCACACAACACGCACGCGTCCGAAGCGATGCCAGGCCTGAGGCAAGCGGGCCCCCAGGGCACCCCCCTCTGGGCAGGGCCGGCCGCGCGCGGGCGGAAGCCTTAGGTCGGGCGTGTCCTCCGACAGGGGACTTGTGGACGAAAGATCAAATTAAAAATACAAGGTAGCTTTTTTAATACATTGTTTTGATTTTTAATACATGACTAATTTATGAATGAATTCAAGCATGAACTCATCTTTGTTTTTAGTACTAAATGCCTGCATCATTAATACATGATCCGCACGCGGAGAATGTATCAAAAACTGCCCTGTACTAAGAAGAATACTCGAACATTGTCAACAAATAAAAGAACAGTCGTCTCCAGACTTTTCTTGGGGCCATGTTTGGATATTCCTCCTGCGGAGGGACACGCCCGACTTGACGGAAGCAGGTCGAGGGCGGGGGGGGGGACAGGCGGGATGGGGCAGGCTGGAGAGCAGCGTTCCTCGAACTTCTTGCCCGCGCCGGGCCCAGGGGGCGCCCCGCCGCTGCGGAGGAACGCCAGCAGCAGCACGACAACGAGAATCGAGGCGTCCACCTGGAGGCCCAGGGGGGGGCTCAGGCCATCGAGCTGGCCCCGACGTGGGGCCGACCCCTCTCTGTGGAAGGCGGCTGCCACCTCGTAGGAGGAGGGGGAGGCCGATGGAGGTCTCGAGGGTCGGGCGAAGGGGGGGGGAGGCTGCACAAGGGAGCTAGAGAAATCAGCTCACGAAGCTGGACTTTACACTTCTCGACTTGTGCGTGTCATCCTTGCGCAGGGGCCATGCGAATCTTCTCTGTATCGTTCCAATGTTCAGGGATGATCCCCGAAGGGGATCCTTCACGCAGCTGGTTATTTGGAGCGCCTCCTGGCGCCGGGATCGCCAAGGCACATCCATTGAAGGCGCCATGCTGCGGGGTCGAACCCAGGTGCACGCGGCAGATTTCGCACCACCCCTCCTCTCCCAGTCTTCCTCTTCAGCCCGACCCGATGAGAGAGAGAAATCGAGAGAGAGGGGGGTTCGATGGTGGGCGAGCTGCCAGGTGCAGGAGTGAGGCAGATTGCGCAGAAGACACGAGCAACACTCCCTCCTCCTCCTCCGAAGGAATAGGAGTAACAGAAGAAAGATCGATCTAGAGGCCTCCCAAACTGGGTCTGGATAGATGAAGTCGGAGGATCGCGCCGCATCACCGATGCATCGCCGATGCATCGGCGATACATCGGCAACGTTGGCGATGAGTGGGTGACATCGCGCCCACATCCAGCCGCATCGCCGACGCATCGGCGACAGGGCGCGATCCTCCGACCACATCGACACGCATCCCACTTAGGAGGCCAAACGCATCGTTTACGTCTTTTGGGGGGCTTCCGCGATTGTGCACGCCAGGCCGGCCGCCAGCCGGGTAGCTGCTGGCCCGCGGCAGGAAGGCAGGCCATGGGCCGCACAGGGCGCGCCTAAGCCCACGGCGCCCAGACCACCGGCGCCCAGCACGCGCGGAGTCGGAGACGAAGTCTCTTCTGCCGAGGGGGAGCAAAAATGCCAGGACCGACCTCCGCGGCCGATTCTGTCAGGTGCCCGCCCGCCCCCCCGCGCGCGCCCCCGCGCGCGCACGGCCTGGGCGTTGCCTCCTCCTGGCCGGGGGGCAGGCCGAGGGCAACCACGGCACGGAGAGCACCCCGCGGTGCGCCTCCGCTCGCGCCGCGCGCCCCCCGATGCGCGCCCCGCGGTGCGCGGCGCGCGGCCCCTCTTCGCGCCCCGCGCGCCGCCACCCTTGGAGAAGGGTGGCGCCCAACTTGTGGCCCAGGCCGCGGCGACCGAGAGGCGCGCTCCTCTTCGCGTCCCCACGGGCGGCCCAATCCCAGACATTCCGCGAGAGGTAA